AAAAAAAAAAAAAAAAAATCGGCGAATTTCCACGTAGCTCAGCCGGTTACAATGACTTGATATAGGCGGTCAGAGGACCAAAAAGCTAATTTTTTTTCAGTTAGAGGACTATTTCCAAAAACAGTCCATTTACGGTACCAAATTAAAAACGGCCTGTAGATAAAGGATCAAAAAACTTTTTTTTTCTGGGGTTTCCCAATACGCTGGCCACGGGTGCGCATCGGCTTCCGGGGAAAAAATGTTGTAGATTATTATTATTATTATTATTATTATTATTATTATTATTATTATTATTATTATTATTATTATTATTGTTATTATTATTATTATTACCATATGTTTCTTGGAGAATAAGTTAAGAATTAAATATTATTATAAGAGATATTGTCTTGTTGGACAAATTAGGAATGGGGTTTTATGAGTCTTATTTAAAGGGCTCATCAATTGTTTTATTCAGTTGAAGTTGAGAATGAAATAAGAATTGATATCGTGTTTTTGAGATTGCGACCTCATTAACATCTTCTCACTCGTACGCTTTCATACATCAAAGAATTATTCAATGTAGCCTTTGCAAGACATACAAAGAAAATTAAGAATAACGGATGGGGCCTTGTAGTACTAACTGATACTTAATGTAATTGCTCTATTTAATACTTTTGACACTTATTGAATTCGATTAAAGATGTTAGTTCTTCACATATAATATCATCATAATGGATATTCGATTTCATAGTATATACATAAAAATTTGTTGGTTTAATTTAGGTTATGATACAAATGTTTGTTCAATATTAAAATAAGGTTGAATTAGAAATGATTTGTGGTATATGGAAGGGATTGTATCGCTCGAAGATTTGTCATCGTCATGGCCCGGTTAATTTTTGTTTTCATTTCAAACTTATAATATGTATTCAATGATAAGTTTGATGAAACGTGTGCGTTTAAAATAGTCCATTGGGTTTCGTCACTTATATGATCCAAGTGGGAGAATGTAAACATATTTTATATTTTTCTATTATTATGGATCATATAATTAATTGGGACCTAGTTGAATTAGTAGTCAAACTTAATTATGGAAAATATGGATATAATCAATTATTAATGTTCTAATATTAAAGAGTCCAATTTGTGATATTTGAATTGGACAATAAGTTATTAAGTTAGAACATGAAGAATGTTAGTATAGGATTATGATTGTATGTCTCCTTCTATATTACTACTACATGCCCTTCTCTCTCGGGTAATACGAAAATATTGTTCTCAGCATATCAAGGGCTTTATGAAAGGACGAGAGGCGCAGGAGAGAAAAAAAACACTCATTGGAGTTTACGCGAAAGAGGTTTGTTGATCATCGTAGATTAGGAAAATAGGGATAGACTAAAAAATGGATTTTTTGTAAATTCTAGGTGCAATTTATTTTATTCACAGATCCATATTCTATAAAATGATAGAATTACATGTTTATGGTTCATTCAATCCAGCCTAATTGTTATGAATATGCCCGTAAAATTTCTTACACTAAAATCAAATAGAAATATAAACATGGTTGTTGAATTTACTCAAAAAAAAAAAAAAAAAAAAAAATTGAAGGAAAAAGATGAGTTGCACTAGAGTAGACCGGACATTAACTTTATATTGCTAAATCAGAAAGCAATCAAAATTAGGAGGATTATGAAGATGAAATGGTATGTTTGTATAGGGTGGTGGCAACAAGCTGACATCTGGGACACATAGTGAGGGTGCTATGTGGCGGTGCTGCCTTCATATCTCTGACCTCCTTTTGTAGCTTCTTGTTTTCTTCCGTTAGCCTTCCAAACCAATTCTTCAAGTACTCGCACTCCATCTCTCTTTGCTTCGTCTTGCTCCTGATATATATATTATCATTTTTATTTTATTCATACTTAAATATGTATATATATATATATATAGGGGGAGGATCCAATGAGTACACTCCTTAAAATGAGTACACTCCTTAAAATGAGTCCACTTCTTAAAATATATATTAATTAAATAATAAAATA